ATCCACACTCCAGTGCTCTTCGAGAATCTGTCTTCCAGCCAATTCGGGTGGATACGGGCGGGAGTGTGTCGGTGTGCGGGTGTAGGTGGGTGGATGTGGGTGTGGATTTGGAAGATCGACAGGTATATCTGCATCCACATACACACTCACACCCATCCCACAACCATACTCACTCACCCACACCCTCAGCATTAAATCTTTCACAATATGATCGTTCTAGTATTCATCTTCGCATTGTCATATCAAAATACGCGAATAATCCATATGGAAATGTACTTGAAACATCACAAGAAATTATTGGCAAGAGGTCTAGATCAAATGATGAAATCAATTCTTGCCTTCGACCAAGTTATACTGATAATACAGAACTTTTACCATTGTCATTTTTAACAAATATGGGTTGAGTTTATTGACAAATGAATAACTTTGAAAAAAGCGAGAGATTTGGTTAAAGAAGTTATTGAAAAATCTGGTTCAACTATAGACAAAGCTAGATTATACAATGCTTTTGGTGAATTAGAGCTTGAATGCACTTATTTTGTTGAAGCATACATCAATTATCTTCAAGTACTTGAGTTAATTGTAGACAGATCATTAAGAAAAGAAATAAATCAAACATTAAATTTACTCAATCAGTGTTCACGTTGACAGTATTCATCTGAAAAGATTATCTAGGGTGTGGATGAGCGTGTGGCTAAACTGAACATAGATGTCATAATATCCATACACTGGGTATCCACAGTTCAACGTTACAATATCCCAGAAGTATCCAAGAACAAGCTACCGCTACAGGTCAACAATACCAGTTCTTCCGGTATAATACTCTTAGGGTATCGTGTTTGATATAACTAGTTCTCAACTTTTAGGATATAGTTTAATCGAGTACGATACCTTGAAGGTTATTACACCGAAAGAAAAATTTTGTAGCATGTCGTACGTGGATACTCTGAAAGGGAATATTAGAAAAGTCGTTACTGGGTGTAACGGTATTATGACATCACTCGATTAATCGTTCAGTGTTCTCTACCTTGAATAATTTACCATTACTATGTGCTTATGATTGAGTGGGATTCAGAAAAAAAACGAAAAAAGAGAGACAAAAAACAGAAAGAAACGAAACAAAATATATTGTCATAACAAAAAAATAGAAAACGAATCACTCGATAAAAAAGAAACCTTCTTGACGTACAGAATACTCAACGAAGTGAAAATCAATCATCACTGAAATTTACTCGGTATAGTTGGTTTTAATTGTTTTATTTCGATGATTAACTTATTGATAGAATTATTTAAGACTGTGAATGAGTATTCTAAAAGTCATAAACAGATCTAATACACAGTTGGAAGGCTGATTATAAAGGATTTTGACAGACATTAAATTGATATTCATGATCGACTTCGGCTCAAGGAATCGGTTGATTATTGTTTATTGATCAGCGAGCTAGTGAGTTTACCTTATTGCATTCCATGCACAGAAGTTCAATGATTTTTTGGGATTCTTTTCTAAGATGTTATCTCTATTTCATATCAATAGTTTAATTCCTTTTTATCCCATTCTATTGATCATTTCCCGTTTGTTTCGGGACTAGGATTGAATCCTTTGGATACTATGGACGAGAATTTCGTGAGAGAAGGCATAAACATAGTGTGATAACATTGCTAAAATATGATTGACTGCAACGATAGATGAATACTTTCCTTCCACACATGATTGGGACATGGGACTGAAAGAAATATGAGCCATAAATCTATATTTCAGGATGACCGAATAGGAATTTCGATAGCAACGTATAAAGTAAAACAGATAATCTTGCATTTGATGGAAAGTAAAAATATCGAAAGTAAGAACATTGAAATAAAATTTTATTGCGAAAAAAAAGGAAAAATTTTAATGAGGAACCGTTTTGAAAGATGTATAGTGAAGTTGTTGGTATGAGTGGAAGTGTGAATACAGTTGTTGGATTCAGTCATAGGTGTTTGTCTTCTCATTACACAGCACATCCACACCCTCAAATGCAAATTTATTTCCACTTTCTTATATAAATAGTACACCGTTCTAAGCTCTATGTATGAGGAAAGTAAACGTTACAATGATTAATAATATCCTTATTAAAA